TTTGTGTGTGTGTGTGTGTGTATGTTTGTGCCTTATTCAGTCGGTCAGCTTTATCGGCAGGTTTGTCCAAAAACAGCGAACAATTAGCGCAAAGCTCTCAATTGCTGAGGCATGCAAATTGAGTAGCCGCATGCGAAAATGCAAAGCAGGCAAAAGAGGCGGCAGCAGCATCCACAACAACAACAACAATAATAACAATACCAACGACGTTTGTTTGCCATGAAAACAATAATAAAATAGAGCGAGAGACAGATAGAGGGAGAGAGAGAGAAAGAGAGCGAGAGCGCCGAGTGCTTGGCATTTGCAAAACGAAAAATGGCAAACAATTTGCGCTCATTCCGGCTAGCAAATGAGTCAAACTGCCAATGGCAGCACAAAAGCACTCAATGGCACTGCGTCGGCGCTGCTCTTTGCGCTCTTTCGAGTGTGGTTTGTTGTTTCGAGAATGCTCAGAACACAGCAGCGCAGCTGGCAGCACAGCGGCTACAAGCTACAAGCTTTCAGCTGCGCTGGCATTCCACTCATTCGTCTCTGGTACGTTGTCGTTTGTGCAGGCAAGCAGCGCTGTGAGGCGCTCGAGTTTTTCCGTGTGCACTTCTAAACTATAAATCTTCAAAAGAAAAAAAGAAAACCTTCACTGAAACTGGACTCGGCGACTTGGCCAAAAATTAATAAACTTTCAACCAATACATAAAACCAAACTGCGCTATCTTTTATTTAATTTATACCGAGCAAAACGTTTTAAAATTGTTTTTTGTTTAACTACGTCAACTTGTGCAAATAAATACAAAACACACATAACAAAAGCAAAAAGCAATAAGTCAACTATAATAATAAACTCTATATTTTTCAACTTTCGCTGTAAATAAAACTGGAAACGATTGCATTTCCGTTAATAATCAAATCATATAAATAACTAAAGAAAATGTTTTGAGTTAAAAGGTAAAAATTTTATAAAATACTAAAAGCCGAATTTCTGTTGAAACTGTTAAAAAAATTATATAAAAAATACTACAATTAATGAAAGAAAGAACGAGAAATTGCGAAAATGATTTTGGTTTTTTGTGTCTTGAACGCGAAATAAAAGTTTTTGAATGTTCTGTTACAAAAAATAACAAACATAAACTCAATTAAGCATTATTCAAAATATACGTATATGCTAGCTGAAACAAAATGTATATATTTTTGACAAAAATAAACTTTTATTATGCGTGGATTTGACAACGACAAAAACATACACAAACACACATAAATATATAAATATACAGCATTTTTATATGCGCTTATGTGTGAGTGTGTCAAAAAGATTATTAAAAAAGAAAAAATAAAAAAATAAACGAAAAAAAAGAAAATAAAGTAAAATGAATGTTCAACTTTCAAAGCAAAAAAATTAAACATCTAAAAAATGTACTTTTTTCGTATTGGAAAAAAAAAGTGCGCACGTTTGTTACACGCGTCAGCGAAAGCGAATGAAAAACAACAACAAAAAGAACAACTGATCACATAGCAAAGCATATTAATTAATAAACAATTACAAAAATCAAGCAAAAAGGCAAAAATGGGAAAAAAAAAACTTTTACACAACACTTGCACCTAACCTACAAACCGAATGCTGCTGCTGCTGCCAACGCTGCTGCAGCGGCAATTGCAAGCGCAAAAAAAAAAACCCAAAAACAACAACAATAACGACATTTTATTGCAATCTGCGTTTTAGTCGGCGCAGCGTTGGCGCTGACGTTGACGTCGCGCGACCCCCACAGCGAAACGCACGATCTGTCTACCGCTGCTGCTGCCCACTCTCTTACTCTCTCCCTCTCTCACTCTCTTGTGCTCGTTCTGCGTGCAGTTAGGCTCTCAGCAAAGCAATGCCGTGGGGCGGCGTTTCATTTTGTTTCGCTTTTGTTTTATTTATTTTGGCTATTTGGCATTTCGTTTTGTTTTTAATTTTTTTTTTTTTTTTCGGTTGTGTGTGTTGGTGGGGGGGATAATTGCATTCGCATTTGCATTCGCATTACATAAAATTGCTGAGCGAGTTAATTTGTTGATGAAATTTAATTGAATTGCAGCTTAATTAGCGTTAAGCATCGACTTGTCAATAGACATACATGCAAGCATGCATACACACGTACCTACAACCATATGTGTGTCTGTGTGTGTGCAGGTTCACGCCCACGCATAGGCTGGTTACACAATTCGACGTTGTGTGTGTTGTGGCCAAAATGCGCGTGTCATGTCTGCTTGTACCGCCGTTTATAGTCCAGTTAATTCAGATTCTATTAAAAACATACATACACTTATACATACATATGTATATAGTTGTCTCCTTTGCCTACTGCTTTTTATTTTCATTCAATTTAATACACATTGCCTTTTATGTGCGCGCACACACGCACGCACAGAGAGAGACAGAGAGAGAGAGAGAGAAAAAAAAAACAAAAATGTTCGTCAAAAGCAATTACTGCTATTTTACGTTGAGTTGAGCTTCACATGATGCTGCTCCGTTATTGCTCTGCAATTGAAATCAACATCAACATCAGCGGCGGCGGCATCGGTAGAGACAGCAAAAACAACAACAGGAGCAGCGCAAATAAGAGCCGCATCTTCAGCCAGGCAGACTGAATTCATTTGTTTTATATTCTTTCTTTTTGTTCTTCTGCTCTCCACTCTCTTCCTGTCACTCTGTGTCTTCTTGTATCTGAGCGCTGTGTCGTGTGTTTTGACTCAGTTTGTTACACAATAAAATTGTTGCTTTAATTTAGTTGAATCAACTTCTTCATTCATATACATACATAGTTGTCTATGCATATATGCATATTTTAATAATATATTTATTTTATTATTATTTTATTTTCGATTTGCCATTACCAGTTGACGATAACTGCATTACTAATGCACTTTTAAGTGATTATTTTTGTTGCGGCTATTTACACTTTACCCCCATCTTGTTTAGTCGCGCTCTCGCACTCTGATCACCTTTACTGCGCGCGCTCTCCCGTCACCCTCTCTTTCTGCCTATGCATAAGCAGAAAAGTGTGCCGCTGAGTGTTTGCAGTGTTGAGAATGCATAAGTGTATACACGTGCATGTGTGTGTAAAGAGAGAGACAGAGCGAGAGAAACGCACTCACATCACGCGATCAATTGCTCGACTTTGACTGTGTCTACATGTGTGTGTATGTGTGTGTATTACACAGAGTTCAAGAGTTTAGGCGCCCTCTCGCTCTCGCGCTTATCAGCAATGCTTAAGATGCTGCTTTCGTCACAGCTTAGCTTTAACAGGCCAACAAAGATTCAATTAAAAGCTCAAAGGCTTAATCTTTCATTGATTTTAAGCTGTAAGCTTTTTGCTGTTGCTGTCGTTATTTATTTTCACTCATTTTTGGCAATTTAATTTAAAATGATGTAAGCTTCAAATGTAGGTTCGAACCGGCTGCAACCGGCAAAAAGTACATAAAAAGAAATAAAAATAAAAAAAATAGATGAAGCAATTATTTAAGTGTATTCTCTGTTCGTTTTGCTTGTTAGCTTTGCGGCCATTGTCGCAAATGCTTTTGTCCCATTGATTGCCTTCCGGCATAGTTCTCTCCCACTCTCCCGCTTCCACTCTCCCGCTTCCACTCTCCCGCTTCCACTCTGCCGCTCGCTCACTCTACTCATTGAATGTGCCCCTATGTGTACGTACGTATGAATGTGTGTTTATGCAGGTGGGTTTTTGTGTGGGCTGCTGCTGCTGCTGCTGCCGCTGCTGCATCATTTGGTGTACAGTTAAGTTTCCATATTTTTCCATTGTCAACAACCGCAATTTGACATTGAATCTTCACAGTGGGAGTGGGGCCGGTCACTTTTGGTGCCTACCGCCTAAATCTCGAGTACCCCTACTACGTCAATGCCACCCCACTCACTGTGACCAATACTACTGCGTATTAACTATTTCACCAGAGGGACGAGCCCCCAAAGAGGCGAAAAAAAAAAACAATATGAAAAACACTTGTTGACTTTGACTTAAAAAGTTTATAAATATTTGCTTTTGCTTGAATCATATATTATTTGTGCCTCATCATGCTCCAGGTTTCTTATACTTGTTTTTTGTTTTTATCTAAAACTTGTAGGACGGGGTGTTCCACAACCAAATTCACGACTCTTTCACGTGCTTAACGGCACAACACTCAGCCGCTGCGTGCATGCACACAGCACGGCACAGCACAGCTGAGTTTGGCCGATTGTACCGTTTCTATCTTATCAATAAGCATTTGCCGGTACTGTAAAGACTATAAAGACGACTGCCAGAAACACTCTAGACTCGCTCAGTTTTCATGCCAACAGCCAGGCTACAGTCACGGGCGCAACGTATGCTGCATGATCGTCAAAGCATATGCATATAGCATGTTAATATATTTTATATAAAATATATATTTATATATGTATGGCTCTGTTGCCATGATCTGCTGTTGGCTTATCAATTGCTATGCTAGAAAAATGTAACGCTTTAATTAGCCTGTCAGACACACCCACCAAATGCCGCTTATCGCTCAGCGACGTCGTCTTGTCTTGGCCCGGTTAATTGATAAGCCCGAGGGCGGGCTGTGGGCAGGGTTGGGCAGGAGTTAGTAAGAAATGCCCATTTGGCGACATTTCCGCAACTAGCTTATCTGAAACAGAACGGAATGAAAGAAACAAGTAAAAATTTTCCAATACTCGAAGCACAGAAACAGCTCAAAAATCAGGCTCATTAACAGTTCTATTAAAGTAAGCCCTATACTAACCAGAACTATGACATATGTACTTAAATATTGCAAAAGAAAATTTAATATTTTATAAAAAAAACAATTGCAATTATTACGAATTACGCGCGTTCTTTGCTTTCGCGGGCTGTGGTGTAACAAACGAGTGCAATTAAAAAAAAAAAGAAAAATAAATAAAAAAAAAGTCAGGAGAAATAAAAGAAAACCACTTTTATATGATTATCATTACGATACGCGTTTTGTGCATCGCCTTTTTGCAGTAATCTTGAGAACAAACATGAGATTTATTCACTTGCACAACAAACGGCGGCAAGTGAGGAACAGGAAAACAAGAAACAACAGCAACAACTACCTGAAACTAACAACAACGAGACAACAAGCAACGCTGCAACAGCAATTGATAAACAAGTTGCCGCAGAAGCAACAACAACAACAACTGCAACAACAACAGCAACTGCAACTGCAACTGCAACTTTAGAGCTAGCGGAGAAACCCAAAGTGATTGAGACTCCAAGCGAAAAAGCAACAATTGAATCAACAACAACAACAAACACAGCAACAAACACAGCAACAGCAGCAACTGCAACTGCTGCTGCAACTAACCCACCAGCAACAACAACAAACACAACAACCAACACCACAACAACCTCATTTTTAGACATAATATCGAAATCAAAACAACAACAAGTGCAACCTGAGCTGCTTATCAAACGTGAAAATAACTCACCTGGGCCGCGCACCATCACCGCTCAGCTCCTTAGCAATTTGCGCGTCAACAACAACAACAGCAACAACAACAGCTGCGACAACTTGCTGGCACGCGAAGAGAAACGTCCCAAATCGGTGACCGCCTCGCTCATACGCAGCACACCCCCCGCCGCTGTGTGCAAGAAAAATTTTGTTGCAGCCACACTGCAAACGCTGCCGCCCACAACAACAACAACAGCTGCCATACTGCACTCCAGCAATCAACAGCAGCAACAGCAGCAGCAACAGCAGCAGCAACAATTGCAGCAGCAGCAGCAACAACAACAAGCACAAGATATGAATAAAGGATTCTTATCATTCGTTGATGATGGCCGAGGCTTAACAAGTAAGTAGAACAAACCACAACAACTTAACCCCACACCATCCCACCCAACCGCTGCCCGCCCGAACACATCTAATACACACCTAATCATAACCTCTACAACAACAGCAGCAACAACCCGTTCACGATTACATGTTGCATTACGCAAGTTGATAACCCCCCTCAACTCGAAAGGTGCGCAAAATATAATAGATGTATATGCAAACATATTGTATAGATAATTCTCGGCTGATAAGCGCCAGAGTTAAGTGCAGTTAGAAAACGTCATCACAATCAATTCTCATTTCAGAGTGCAGCAATAGGTCAGCATTTTTTTTGATACCCCAACTTCAAGGACAGATTGTGCAGTGTTAGGCCCTATATAGCAGATTACACTGAAAGCTTAATCATGAGTACAATATCTTACTAATGAAAAGTTTTATAATCGATTATTTGCTCTTCCATGAAGCCCTAGTGCGTTGTAAAAAAATAGGCTGTAAGACCCGCATATAGAAAGTTACAGTTCTGACTTACTGTGATAAATTTAGCAAACTTCTGCAAATCAATCAATTAATATAAGCTATTTTTATAGTCTACGACTAAGACATAAATACCAGATGCTGAGTCTGATGTTTCAATCCGTAACCACATTCCCTGATTCCACACATTCCCTGATTGAGCGAAAACAACGAAAATTAATGAAAATAATGTGGTGATAAAAATAATAATTATTTCTTTATCCTTGTTCTCTTATCTTTTTGAGAGTTAACAAAATTCTGTTGCCTTCATTCTGGCACAAATAGACGAAGTATCGATATTGGGAACGATATTTTAGAAATAAATTCAATTCAATAAAATTGACGGATCTTTATATTTGACATAAATATGTATTTATTAGAATTTTCCCAATCTATGGCAAAGAATCACTAACAGAAAAGAAGTTTTTGTAAAAATAACTTGTATTCTTCGGATTCGCAAGCAAGAACTGGATCGATAAATTTTAAGTGTGACCATAGTTCATTTATATGCATTTTGGTATTTAAATGAAGAAATAAAAGAAAAGAGATATTTTCTTGAACTCTGTTTATTGTAATACCTTCGACGTTTATCATTTACTCAGAATTAGCAGAATTCTCTAGCTTGACAATATATTGAATAGAAAGCTCGAATTACAATTTATTATGTTACCGTATATTAGTCTTGAAGAGGGTTTGTGTTTAGAGAATTTAGCTGTTATGATTTTGATGTTTTTATTCATATAAGAATTTTGATCCACTCGAAGTTGAAAACTTCGTCAGTTTAAGAAGCGGACGCTGTGTTGCTCCCTGGTAGAGTTGCATTATATTGGAGAAAACCATGACAAATTGTGCTTTAATTAAAGCACAGAAGCAGTCAGATCTTAAATCTCAATAGAACATAGTTTTATTGCACTTACGAGCAATAAAAACGCGTATGTTATAGACATTTGCCACTAGGAAATAAGAAAAATACTAAAACACGCACACACTGAAATGCGTAAGAATTTGTATTTATATATTTTTTATTTTTGTTGTTATTTTCTTACGCCCTATACAAGTTGATAACCCCGTGGGGCAATTTCCCGGATCAGAAATAGTCCAAAATGTGCATTAGCCAAAGACCAAGGCTAGCTTGTGTGTGTGTGTGTGTGTGTGTGCATATGTATATTACAAATATATATATATATATATATATATATATATACAGTATGCACATATTCATACGAGTCGCGCCCGTTTATAAGTAGACTCTGTATAAAAAAAAATACTCAGGCAAGCGCCTGACGCGCGCTATTCGATGCAATTTGATGCATTGTCGTAACGTTAAATTGGTCAAACTGTCGTTTAGTCAGACAAACAGTCAGTCAGTCAGTCAATCAGTCAGTCAGTCAGCCAGTCAGTCAGTCAGTCAATTGCTTATCACCGTTTGTGGTCGCAATTTGCGCAAATCAAACGATTTATTTGTAAAGACAACAACAGCAAATGCACAACAACAGCAACAACAACAACAACAACCTAAGCAATAACAACAACAACAACAACTAGCTTGAATTTTGTAAACAAAGTGCAGCAAACTAGCCCCATACTCAGCTATGCCATAGAGAATGCATGCATACAGACATACATGCTTGCACATGCATACAGACATACATGCATGCACATGCATACAGACATACATGCATGCAGATGCATTTATATGCACATATATTCTCGTATAGTAAATGCATCAACATTTGCCGGTTGGCAATTTTTTTTCCTTTCAATTTACGTGCATTTCTTGTTGTTTTTATTATTATTTATTTATTTATTTATTTTTTTTCTATTTTTTTGCTGTCATAATCGCTTAATATTACGCATACGCCGCGTTTAACCCACCAAAGCCGCAAACATCATTTTGTTTTCTGCTGTGAGATACTCTTCAGCCTCAGCATATTAGCCCGATGCCAATTAATATGTTAAGCGATATATGCGGCTGTCGTCCAGTTGGTTGGCGCGTGTGGCACAGCCTCGGCCGGCCGGGCTCTTCCCGAGCGCCGCCGCTTGTGACATGTGTCAGCGGCACCGACCGCCCACGCTTTAGGTCCCTGCTTTTCCCCGCCTACGTAGCTACCTTTTCACATTCATTCCATTTGGTGGCGCGTGTTTTTTTTTTTTTGAGTTATTTTTGTTGCAGTTTGCTTGGAAACTGTCTGCAAATAGCAATTGGTTCTTGCTTGTATACCCTTTAAAATATATTCTTTTGACTAGGCTTATTAAAAATCGAATATTAACATTCTTATCTTCAGTTAGAACAACTATGGCCGATTTGGTATACAATTTTGTATGCCACAATGAATAATGAATAATGACTGATCAATTTCTTTCTGCAAAGTTGATAGTTATCGAGTTTTGGCTTACAATCGATAGTTAACGCATGTCACTGTAAAATCGATAATTATCGCATGCGGCTTCAAAATAGATAGATAACGCATGTCACTTCACAATCAATTATATCAGGCTTCAAAGCAATATGGCAAACCCTTTATATTAACCGATAAATATCGAAAAAAAAGTCTACAGGGCATCTCTTAGAGTGGCATTTGAGTATACCCTGTTTTATGCTCTTCAACATTAATATTTTGAATTATCTAGTTTTCTTATCTGCACAGGGCATTTTCCAGTCGATCCACAGACCGCATGCTGAGTTTTTTCTTGTGTTTTCTTTTTTTTTTTATATTTTATTCTCTGGGTTTTCTCGCTTTCTGTTGACATTTTGTGCTGGCTGCAGACGCCACACATACTTCAGTGTTTTTTTCTTCCATATTTCTTTTGCTCCCTGTTTTTTCTATATTCTCTTTTTTTTTCGTTTTTGTTTTTTTGTGTTTTTTTTTTTTTTTTTTTTGTTGAAGAGTCTATATTTATTTTGTTTTAGTGGAACGTAAATAAACAGGGAAGCACTTATTATATTTATTTTCGTTGTAGATAACCGCAAAGAATTGCCAGTTATAGGAATTTGATTCGGTGATCATTTGATGACTCGCGTAAATATTGTGCAATATATTGTATAATATGATATTACTATTACTTTAGATTCTGCTGGTAGTTTTCCAGATGTTCATTATCAAGTTTATCAATTGTACCGTTTTTTTTGGAAAGTTCATCCCACGCGACTCGCTCTTCCATAACCCGTTCAACCTGTTTACTATAATCTCTGTAATACTTCATTTGCTAAGTCAAACATTTGTGCAGCTCCCAAAAGAGCCAACATTTACTGTTGACTATCGCCAAACTATCGCTTAATTATCGCGCACGCCGCCACGAGCCAGCCCCAATCAATTTTTTACTTTTCCACTGTCTCTTTGGCTCTGTACGTAAAACCTCCCAATTCCGCATCCAGAACACGCGCTGCTATGCCATAAACACACGCACAAGTGGGTGCCTAATCGCGACCTCTGGAGTGCTCGAGCTCTTAAATAGAGGCGGGGACGTAGTGCGGCGCTTACATAAAGATGCCATCAAATGCTATACACTGTTCACAAATTGAGCAAAAAGGGAGTATAGATTCTTTGCAGCGTGCATTTATTTGGTAGTTTTGCAAGCTAAAAACTTGATAATTTCCATATATAACTGCGTCGGATAGTTTTACAATATTTTGTCACGCCTACCTGAGGGGGCGTACAGATTTAAAATCGTAGCTGTCCCAGTTAAAGAGCTAGTCAACCAGTTTTGTATGTATACTACTTTTACACTTCTCTTAACCTTTTTGCCATGCCCATTATAGGCTCACATGTTCATATTTGCCAAAGACATAGTTTGTAAGTCGTATTATGACAGTTTTAGAGTAAACAGCTGACAAGCATACCTTGTTTAGCATTTCTAAAAGCTGTTACAGTGTATTGCGCAGTCGGTTGCACTCGATTGCGATTCTCAGATTTGTTGTCTGTTTTCAAGTGTTCGTCTTCGTTTATTCTTTTCTTTTAATATACCGTAATCCGAATTTTGATTTCGGTCTGTCGCTAAACTACGTCATTATTATGTTGATCAACATCATCAACAACAACATCATCTTCATCGTCATCATCATCATCATCATCATCATCATCATCATCATCATCATTTTGGCTGTCATCATCATTATGATGATTTATTTAAATAGAAACTGTGTCGAGTTGTTGAGCGTTGCCTGAGCCAAGTCACGCGTTAGGCAACACTCATGTGTGTGTGTGTGCGTGTGTGTGTGTGAGTGTGTGTGTGTGTGTGTGTGTGCGTGTGTTCATATAACGAGTACTCGTTATTCACTGAATGGTTATTCTAGAAAACTTTCGAATTCATATTTCAAGTGCATCGAATGTGGTTCAAGTGCAGCTGCAGCTTGAGGCACGTCACGAGATGCGGCGACAGTCACTTTTCTTCTTCTTCTATTTTGTTGTTGTTGTTTTTTTTTTTGCCACAGATCAACTAATTACCTTGTGCTTAAGTAACCCCAGGCCAGAAGCCCCCTGCACTGCTCACTTTTAGCTGCTAAAATTTGTTGCATTGAATGAATGCTGTGTTTTTTATTATTTACTTTTTATTTGGGTCTGCGGCCTTGCACTTTACAGTCACAATTACGAAAATTATAAAAGAAAAACAACAACACTTTGCTAATAGTTACGAATGGGCACTTGAGTGGGCCGTTGCCATAGGCCCGGCTATGGAGGCTACTTGGCCGCATTGTATTATCGCGTGCCATAATTTCAGTTGTTAATTTGTTGCTCTTTTTTTCTCAGTTTTTGTTGCTGCCTATTTCTGTACCCTTTTTATGTGCAGGTGGAAGAGGGCATCTTCGACCAGTCGTGTATATCTCGATACTCTCACATTAACATATCATCGATAAATATCGATTTTGAGATATGCTTTCTTAAACATAACTCGAAAGCTAGAAGTGCTAGAAACTTGGTGTGTTCATTTTCGTATGGTATACATAGGTTACGATAGGCAGATGTCTTATGATATAGATAAATATCGATAATAAAAGAAGATTTTGTCATCTAAACTTGATGATTTTAATAGCTAGCGACGATAAACTTGGTATGCGGGCTTCCATATTGAATGTACACACACATTCCCTACAAACTTGAAAAACGCCCTTTTGAGGAAGTAAAAATTTCATAAAAATCGGACTATAAACACTGAAGTTAATCAAGGATAGATGACCCACAAATAACGTGAGGCACAAACAAGCTAAAATGTCTGTAATGACAGCTAGTCAGGGTATCTTCTCCTCGGGCACTACCGACAAGGCAGTCTAGTTTTTTTTTATGCCGCAAAGCGTCGTCGAGCAGCACTTGTGTGCCATAATTATAAGTCGCCCTATGGGGGGTCAGGTGCCTGGCGGCGCCCCTCTCTTGCCCTGCCCAACCTCGGTGTGTTTGCATTGTTAATTAATTTGTTTGTGCCTGCTTGGCAGCAGTGTGTGTGTGTGTGTGTGTGTGTGTGCGTGTGTGTATGAGTGAGATAGACTCTATATGGCAAGTCGAGTGCATATATCATCTGTATATATGTATAAAGTGCATTGGATCGTTTTCCAAAGCCCTCAGCTGTTTTGTTTCCCTGCAATGGCTAATATTACTTTATCAGGTTCTAAATAGCAGTTCTGATAGTAGAAATAGGCGTAAGATTTCTTTGAAAAAGCTTAACAAAGATCTGTGCTTGATAGAATCTTAAGAGAGTTTCGTCTCGTATCTACATGCAAAGAGGTTTTCTGTTTTCTATTTGTAAATATCCTTAATTTTCGTAAATATTTTTCTTCTTCTAATTTCCACTTGTCTTTCTTCTTTTAGTAGCTTCTTCTAACTGTAGAGTATGCAAACTTCGTAGTATTTCATTTGCTTTCTATTGCACTCGACTCTTGTTGTCGTTGGTCATTGAAAAAATTAAAAAATAAATAAATAATAAAAAAATCGATTGATAGGTGCTCATAAATTATTAGAAAAGTTACAATTTTGTATGCATAGAACTTCAGCTAGAGATAAGATACGTTTTACGTGTATATATATAGGTATGTATATATGTAGGCATCTCGATCTAGGCATATCAAGTGCATAAACAACAGCCGAGTAGAGTGAAAATTCAGCAGTTTGCAACTGGTTGTTGTAATAGGCTTAGAGTGTTGACCACATACACATACAATATATATGTATATATGCATATAGACGGCAAAGTTAGTTGAGTAATGCTATTTATATCTGCTGATAAACAATGCCGTAAATATTGCACCCCTGGCTAGTTATATACGACTATATAAACACAGATATACTTATGTATTTTTTAATTCTCCATTATTCCCATATTGTAGTTAGGTCGTGCGAGCAGCTTTATACCGGTTTCGCTGGCTTAGCCCAACCGTTCTCTATATAGTTACCATATACTTGGTATACATAAACTATTCGTAGTATATATGTTTATTATGATTGTTGACTAAAGCTGCTCGTGACGCGCATCCACATCTCTGGCTGATTGCAAAGGCCGATAAGGCACAGCTCGCATCTCGGATCTGGCGGCTCTGGGGCCTTGACATCTGGTTAGGGTTAGGCCTCTCGCAGCCCAAGTGCATTCTAAATAATGTTTGCCATGCATTTCTATGGGTCGTACGTCAAAGCTTCATATTGCTGCCAACAGCCAACGGGCTTTATCAGCTGGCAAAACTTTTCCGATGCTGATTAATGAGGCAGTTATAGAAAAAGGAAGCAAGAAAAATAAGTGAATAAAAATAAATAACAAAATTGGCTGTCAAAAGGCCATTAAAATCATGGCCCAAGTCTAGCAATTGTAGCACATAAATCAACAAATTTAGCAGCCGAAATAAAATAAGTGAAAACGAAAACTTTTATTAGACTCAATTGAAGAAGCTGTCAATTGGAAGAAATGAATTCTTTTTTCGGGTGTCAGCTATAGCCAGTGGCGCCAGTACAGTCTGGCATGGTGTCTGCTGGCTTGTGGCTTTAATTAACAGCGACTTTTGTTTTGTTAGTCGACGTTTGCACTTAGCACCAAGTTTTGACACCTCTTTGACAACTGCACACATGCCCGCATATAAATAAATGGATTAGAATAAGAAAGAAATAAATATAACTAACGGATATTTTCCTTTCTCTAGTGCTGAAAGAGGAACCGGATGATTTGTCGCATCATTTGGCCAGCAGCGCCTGCATACAGCTGGATGAGATGCCGCCCTTCGGCGAGATGCTGGGTCTCATGAGCTCCTGTTTGCTGCCCGATGATATCAATTCTTTGGACTCGACCACCTGCTCGACAACAGGCAGTGCACCGCTCTATCACAACAACAACAATAACAACAACAGCAGCAACAACAATAGCAGCAGCAACAGCTACAATAGCAATCGTCAGAGTTTAAGCACAGCAGCAAATGCGGGCTCAGCTAGCAGCAGAACTAACAGCAACAACAGCAGCAGCTGCAGCAGCAGCAACAGCAACATCAACGGCAGCAGTAATTGCAGTAACAGTCAACAACAAAGTCAGGATAACAGCAGCAGCCACAGCAACAGCAACAGCAGCAGCAGCAACATTGATCCGCTGTTCAATTATCGCGATGAATCGAATGACACCAGCTGCTCACAGCATTTGCACTCGCCCAAGGTGTGTAGAAGCGCGCTTGAAAAGCTGGAGATATCGGTGAATAAATTAAGACTTTTACCTTCAACTCTTACACAGACACCCGAGGACAGCAGCTTGCCCTCGCTGTGCAGCCCGAACTCTTTGACCCAGGAGGAGGATTTCTCATTTGTGGACTATGATATGCGCGCACCCTATATAGCCATGGACGATGACATGCCGCTGCTCACCGAGGGCAATGTCATGTGGGGCTCCGAGGTGGACAGCATGCAAGAGCATTTGCAACAATGGCAGCAGCAGCAGCAACAGCAGCCACAACAGCAGCAGCAGCAACAGCAGCAACAGCAGCAACAGCAGCAATATAACAGCTATCAGCAACAGTCTGTGCACCAGCAATCACATCAGCAACAGCAGCAACATTTTTCCAGTTCGCTGTGCTCCTCGCCTGCCTCCACAGTGTCCTCGCTGTCGCCGTCGCCCGTGCAGCAGCATCAACAGCAGCAACATTCAAATGTTTTTAGCACCGGCTCCAGCGAGCTGGCAGCAATGCTTTGCGGCAGCGGCAGTGGCACGCTCTCAATTTTGGACAATGCCTCGATCGAGGATCGTTTGCAGCAGCAGCAGCAGCAGCAGGACTTTCGCAGTTTCCAGCAGTTGCAGCAGCTGCATGAGGAGGAGCAACAGCAACAGCAGCAACAGTTGTTGAGCCTTAGCATTGAGTGCAAAAAGGAAAAATATGATGTTTCATTGGCCGCCAGCTTATGTCATTCAATTGAAGATGCATTTGAGAATGATTACAGCAAAGATTGTGAGTATAGCAAACGAAACTAGTTGATCCATCTGAAATATGCAGCAGGCAGTTTGAAAATTGCTTGCTTAAAGCTACAAAGAAAAGGGAGGAGGGTAAAAACTATTAAATCAAACTCTGAAATATGCCCAGAATTTCATTTATAGATATTTCAGTCGGGGGCTTTTTTCATTTCTTTTTTTTTTTTTTTCTGGCAGCAACACCTACGCGGCGTCAACAGACAGCCTGCTGCCGGCTAATTATGTAGTTGGTCTAAAGATTTTTCCTTCCATTTTCCCACACACACACACAAACATTTTCACACTTTTGACAATTCTTTTCTTTTTTTCCTTCAACAAATACTGCATTTGGAGAGGCCTACATTTTAGATAGCTATGCGCGTTTATTTATAGACGCATACATAAATATATTTATATGTATACATTTGTATATATTCACTTATACATGTATATAAATATATATATGTTTGCGCGTTTGTTTTGTAAAAATAGATGAAAACATTGCCATCAATTTTCACATTTATTGGGATTGCTTGCAGTGGGCATTTAAACGATATTAAGTAATATGTCAGGCCAGCTCAGCTTCTACATAGCAGATATACTCTGTATATAGACATCTCCGATTCTCAAAATCTTTGGCAACACTCCGAGTTCCTATTCAATCTTTGCATAGAAACGTATTTTTGCGACCTGCAAATCAATATATCATAGTCTGCCGTATATTATATATTATATAGCATCATATAACTGCCAAAAGGCGACTACTTTCAAAATGTTCCTTTCTTTTTTATAGAATTTCCCAAGCAATCCGCGCAATGCTTAGCAAAATTTGATCAAAGCGAACTCTTGCAACCTAGAATTCCCATAAGACCAGTTTTTTTTTTATTTTCTGTTTTGAAGATATCTTAATGAAGCACAGCAAAAAAAAAAAACTTTAGGCGTGATTTCTATTCAATCTATTCAAATCTCTACTTCTCTATCTTCCAATCAAATCTCTTAAAAATCGATCAAATATCTTTCATTCTTCTAATGGAAAACATGCTCGTGTTTTTACTGAACATTTCTTGTTGGTTAAAAGTTGATTTATAATTCTAAACATTTTCCAGGGTATCAAATCGTTGAATACCTCCTCTGCATGCCCATCTCTCACTAAGTTGTCAAACAAAACTGCCGGCGAATTGGGGCTGAGAGTTAATTGATGCAGGTCTTCAAGCCCAAATAGTTTCCACAATTACCAAATAGAAGTTGTTGCTGCCAACTTGGGGAAATATGCTATATAATTTTAACACATGCCGCAGGGCACACGCCCCTTACCTTTGACACATGTCACGCAGCGCCAGAGGCAGTCGTGATTGATGCCTGTGGCCGGGACTGAGAGGGGACTGGGGAATGGGGAAGGGGCTAGTCCCTGTCAGGGGGTAGACGCTGCCTGTCGTTTGTTTAGATAATTTTTTCGTTTTTGTTTTGGCATATAGACAGATGTCTGTGGAGTGTTCTTTTTTATGCCTAGCATAAAATAGCCATATACACATAACATATACCCAGCATATACATTTTTCTATACATATATATAAATATATACCCTTTGTATGTGCTGCTCATAAACAGATATTTTTCACTTTTTGGCACACACGCAAATTTTCACGAAAGAAAATAAAATTGTAGAAGATTATTATTGTTTTAAATTAGCATCAATGTCATGGGCAAGAGGAATTAATTGCTCGTCTGTTTGCCAGCAGCAGCAGCAGCACGCACAATAAATTCTGGGCAACCAAATGAGACTGAATAAAAATTAAATCCATTCTAGTTAATAAGCTAGCAAATACCCTTACGAACAGCTTTGCAAAGTACCTTTTGGATTTCCTGTCAGATTTTTAGTATATTTTTAGAGCTCAAAGATATCATTCTAATGTATGCCTATGCCGAAAAGCTAGACTATGACCTAAATATGCGGAATGTTAAAGGAAGGAGGCTGGGTATACAAAAAGTAAACTCTTCAGCATCTGTGTATACCGAATGAACGAGCTGCATACAAAATAAGAGGACCCTATTTCTTATAATCTTCCAGAAATGTTCAAAAATCAGCATTATTCTGGATTTGTGTTTACCATAAGAGGTATACTAGCTTTTATAATCTTCGGGAAGTGTGCAAAAAACCAAATCGATTTATATCGATTTAAATTTAAATGCAAGTTATCGATAACAGATTGAAGCAAGTCTGGGCGTTAAATACAGATGATTTGTGTTTATCATCTTATACTCTTCGAGAATTGTCCACTTATTCAAGTTAATACAACTTATCGATTATTATTAACGTCTCTTAATTTGTGCAGTTAATACGGCTGGACAGATGGACTCGGTTTGCACAACTGCAATATACCCTTTATTTTTTTAGCCATTTTCAATGGGTACTTAAACTATTGCTGCATATTTCATGAATTCTACTTCGCATCAACTTTTATTTTGTGCACAAGTTTTGACTAAGTTATTTACATTTTTAATTGTTATTTAGCCAACAATCTGGATGGCTGGCCCGATTTTCTGCAAATCAATGTGGCTGAGGCCAGCAACAGTCCCGCAGTTTCACCAGCGACAAGCAAAGTGTCACCATTGCAGCTGCTGCAGCAGCAACCCTTGCAGCTGCAACAGCCACAGTTGGAGCAGCAGCAACAGCAACAACAGAATATCATATTGAATGCAGTGCCATTGATAACCATACAAAGCAGCAAGACAATGTTGCAACAGCAACAGCAACAGCAACAGCAGCAGCAACAACAGCAACAGCAATCAGAGGAGGAGTTGCAGGAGCTGGTAGTGTCGGGCAAGCTGCCCGCCATGAGGCTATTGAGTGGCACCAAGGCAACCATACGCGTAGTGGAAAGCAAGGCCACGCCAACAACAAAGGCAACCTTGCTGCAAACAATATTGCCACAGCAGCAACAACAGCAGCAGCAACAGCAGCAGCAACATGGCAGCAAGCGTCATTTAAACAGCCAATCTGCTGCAGATTCGAAACGCCTGAAGAGCGGCACCATGACGCTAGAGGTGCAGTCGCCACAGCTGCTGCAGCAGCTGATGGGCAAGGAGCAACAGCAGCAGCAGCAGCAGCAACAACAGCAGCAACAGCAGGCAAACAAGCGGCATGCAAGCGAACGCTGGTCCACGGCAGCTGAGGCCAAGCAGCAGAAACAGCATCAGCAGCAGCAGCAACAACAACAGCAAAAACAACAACAAGAACAACAAGAACAGTCAAGCTCCGTGCTAAAGAATCTGTTGGTAAGCGGACGTGATGTTAGTGCCGGCTACTGCATTGTGCCCATGCGGCCCAAGAAGCAGCTGGCCAAGGTCTAGAGCTGGATGCGTGCCACTGCCACAAACAAAAAAACAAAAACAAAAACAAAAAGTGTTGTACAATTGAACGGACAAGACCATTTCTACAATTTGTACTTTGTAAATGGAACGATTTTATAGACAAGAACACCCCCCTCCCCTCTTAACCGCCCATCCGCCCCGATCCCCACCCCACAACCCGGAGACAACCCAAAATCCTAAAACTAAACTTAAACGACAGCCGCTGGCGCAGCAAATGTTGCATGCAACGTGCCGCCAGCAGCCAGTCAGGGCTTAGTTATAGTTGCATATATCTATATATATATAGCGTATATATATATATATATATATATATATATATATATATATGTTTAGTCTAGCTTTAGCCATAGTGTCTACCTAATAGAGTTATTGCTTAATGTTTAGTCTAATTTAAGCAGCAACAGCCGTGTGGACTTTAAAATTATAAATTTTAGTAGACTATTTAAAATAGTCATCACCATTGAACTAAGTGTTAAGCCTCAGTTTGTAGCGACTTTTAATTTTCCTTCTATACATAGATATTAATTGTTTTTTAAAATCAATTTTCCCACATTTATTTACGCCCCCCTGCCCTTAAATTGCTTTATTTGTTGATTTCATTTTAAGGCCATGTTGTTATATTTTGTTGAGCATCTGTATAGTATGCTATATATTTTTATTGTACATAAACACATATATATACCTACCACATACACATATATACATTTAATAAAGCTAGCGCATAGTTACGCATAAGTCGAGCGTTTTGGGCTACAGTGACTACCAGCAGCATCACAACCAGCAACAACTAGCAAAAATTTCAATAATTAAAAGAAAACAAATTAATCCAAAATAAAAAACAACAAATTATTTCAAGTAAAAAAAAAAAGCTGTAAAAAATTTAAATGTGGCATTAACTAATTTTGTTTGTTTCCTTCTTTCGTTCTTCATTTGTTTACTGTGATAGCCATATTGCGTTTTTGTTATTATTATTATTAGCAAATATCTTGATTTTATTTGGTGTAATTTGTTAAATGTGTAAGCGTTTTTTGACTGAGTGGCAGCAGAAGAAGCAGAGCCAGCGCCAGCTTTAAATAGAGCGTGAAATAATTGTTAAAACAAAAAATTAATCAAGCAATATTCGAAAATATTGCAAAATATGTCGACAGCGTTTTAATTCGAATTCAGTTTTTTTCCTAATAGATCTCTTTGTGTTGACAAAAAATGAGAAGCGAAATGCAAGTAATGTGCAAGGAGTGGCATATACCCTGTAAATTGTAAACATTGTGGAAATGATGTAGTAAACAGAATTGAAATTCGAGCGCTGATGGTACAAAAAAAAAAAAAAAAAAAAAAAACAAGAAATAATAAAATTAAATTAAAACTATTAATTAGCTAAAATTAATTATAGTCAAAATGGAAAGTCAAAAATCAGGCTGTAGGCAGATTTACATAGTTATAGCTCTACAACCTATACATATACCTAAAGTAAATATACCTAAGCATATAGCAAAAACTAAACTGAACTAAACTAAAAACAAAAGAAAACAAAACTAACTTAGAGTTCTAAGGCATTTCCTAGTGCAGCGTAGCGCCAGTTATCGAAGAAACAGAAACAAATTATCTTCAGTCATGTTCCGCATTTCACTTTCGCTGTACTTTCACGGAAATATGTTTCTACTACTTTGCGCGGAGTGTAACAAAAATTGTAGTTTCATATGTTGAAATAAGGCTTCACATATCTCTGCGAAAAAGACTTGCAAGTGAAATTAAGAACATGGCTGCATATTTATGCAAGGTTCGAGCCTTTGAAGTCTAGGCCATGTTGTAGTTCAATGAAATTGGTTTGCCATACCGATTCTTTAAGCTTACAGCTTGCAGCATATTGGCTAGCTGTGCATTCTTGAATCAGTTGACAATTCTAAACGGGTTTCTAAGAAATCAACAAAACAACTTTTAAGCAAGTCGAAAGCTGCAACATGGTCTAACACTCTTAGCAAATGAACCAAAACCGTAACTAAAACAAAGACATAGCACAATTTGAAGCACTCATTAATCTTAATTTAATATTTTCTTTAAGTTTCAAACGCACGCATAAAAGTAAAAGAAAACACGAAAAAGCTGATTATTTTGTTTATTTTACTTGGTTTCCATATCGTCTTTAATTTTTTCTATTGTTTTTTTTTTTTTTTTATTTTGGCTTTTTAAAGTGTTGTTTTTTAAAAAGCATTATTGATTTTACATAAATACTGACCACTCGCTGACCCACTTTGCGTGGCTTGTTGTGTGTGGTGCGTGCCCAACATATTATTCATTGTGACTTTAATTAAACTTTGTTTTGTGAGCGTGTGTGTGCGAGTGTGTGCGGGTGTGTTGCGTGTCTATCGCTCATTTGCGTGTGTGTGTGTGTGGGGTGCCTATTGATAATCCCCCAAACCACAGCCGGTGTCAGCTTTCGAATCGTAATCATAAATATCCAAGACGATATCAATTTACACGCAAAGTTTATAACCAACCTGCTTGGATAAAAACCAGGATAAGAAAAGAAGGAACCGACTAATCAATACTCTGTTAATTGGCTTGAAAAGAGTCTTCTTTATTTAGTAGGTCTTAGAGGCTTATTTCTATTTTTTACACTGTCATGAGATGTCTGTCTGTCAGCCTATCTGTCTGATTTTCTGTCTTTTGTCTGTCTGTCTGTCTGTCCATCTGGGGCTTATATACGGCTATATATTCCAACTTTCTAAAAACTTTAGCGCCTTACTTTTACTGAGACTTTTACAAAATGATTCTCAGCTCGTGCCACATACTGGCTATTGACTGTAGTTAGGGGGCGTGGCTGTTTATAGACACCTACCTGATGCCGGGAAATTGAGTTTCGATTTCACATGCATAAAATTAACATATTATATTGTCTATTTACAGGGGCTTTAAGGCAGCGGCTGCTGGCTCGTATTGATTTTACACCTCGTGCCAGGGGCAGCCAATGCGTATTTGTCCCACAGTACCAAGCTGTGTCTATCCCTTAACGGCCTTTTATTCCTTTTTTGTTTGCTTATCCTTTCACTTTCTTTTTCACTTTTTACGTTGAGCGCAAAGCGCACAGCTGATGCGCTCTCACTTTTACGGTGGCTCATTGACTCAAATCGGTCTTTTTCTCGCTTTCTATCGCTCTCTCTCTATCTCTCCCTCTTTCTCTCTCTATCTCCCCCTCTTTCTCTCTCTCTCTTTCTCTCTGAATGTATTTGATGGCCCCGTTTTATGGCCAACACGAGCTATGCTCATTTTGTAGGCCCACACTTACTCCCACGCCTTCAGTTAGTCCTTGTTTTCGTTTTCTGTAGCTTTGTCCTCTTCCTGTAAATGTCAACGACTGCTGCAACATATTTTGGCTGTTACGAAATATGCATAGTGCGAGTGTGCGTGTGTGTGTGGGGCACACTGTTGTAGTCTAAAATCTCCTGTCTACTTTTGTGCGCAAAGATAATTAAATTTTATACGCATTATTTCTTATTTTTTTTATGTATTTTTCTCTTTCTTAAAAGCTTTTCACAAACATCTAGAAAAATACAAAATATATAGAAAAAATGTTTTTATTACTAAAAAATTTAACCAAAACTACCTCGCGTCTACGGCAGTCAAAGAACCGTAACTACCTCCCGAAACACTCAACGATAAAAAACATGAAAAAGAAAAACGAGACAACTATTAAAAACCAGAGCGTGTTCTCAGCTTAACAAGTGCTGCATAGGAAATTTAACTGTTAAGTAAAAATTATAAGAAACGAGAAATTTGATAGACAAATTCCGAAAATTGATAAGCAATCCTCAACAAAATAAGAAATCCTACATGGTAGCGTTAGAAGTATATACATATATAAAGTAAAAACTATTTATCGTAACTAGACAAATACCAGGACAATTAAAAGAGTATTTCCTTGATAATCATTTAGAATGTCAGATATCCCAACTGATTGCAAAATGGTGCAAGTTGAAAATATTAAATAATTCTAGCCCGAAAAGACTGCGAGCCAAAAACTCTCAAAATTATTATTATATATATATACAAACCAAAAAAAAAAAAAAGAGCAAAAGTGAAAAGAAGAGAGCCTATAATACAACTACAATATATAGTTATGTAAGAGGAGTTGCTTGTATGTAGAGAAAACGAGTGGAATATGAGGTAAATGCAAAGCAAACACCAGGCATACTTTTTGCATTAGCAATTTGCCTACCAGAAGTCGACTAAAATAAAAAGAAGAAAAAAACACACTTAAATATTATTCGATGTGGCTTTAACTAAACTATATTTAAAACAAAGATACGACTAAACTTCTAATAAGTAAAAACTCTCAAAATCAAGTCAAATTTGTTTAGCATTAATATATATAGCGACTACTCATAGATATATGCTGCATATATACATTCATACATACTTACCTACATGCATACATTTATACAAAGCTATTCATATAAGATTTAGTTGAAATTTTTTCGCGTTACGTATGAGAGAGAGATCGGAAATGGGAATGGAAATGGGCCGAAGTAGTACGTGAAGTAATGATATAGCCTTATCGAAAGGAAGTGCAAGAGGAGCGAGTAACGAGTTCGATTTGTAACGAGTGCACTTTTTAACTAGTGCAACTGGTAACGGGAGCAACTCGAGCGAGTACTACTTGTTACGAGTGCAGCTTGAACGAAAAGTATTTGTAACGAGAAGAGTTCGTCACGAGTGCAATTTGCAACATGTGTAACTCGAGCGAAAACAAAGTTAATTATACACAGGTTGAGCGAGTAAAACTTGTAATGAGTGCAATCGGAGCAAGGGCAGCTTGTAACGAGTGCGACTCGAGCGAGTGCAACTTATAACGAGAAAACTTCGCGACGTGTGTAACTTGTTAAATAAATGCAGCTTGAGCGATGAGA